TCTGTTTCTATATGTGAGTTGTCACCGGCAACAAATTCATGAACACAACCACCAATCTCAATTGAACTAAAACCTGGTTTCTTTTGTATCCCAAGTGCTTTCATTCTTCTTCTAACTTTGCTTGCTCCCTCCCATCTTCCAACTGCGGCATATATGTTTGCAAGAAGCACATAATTGGAATCGCTACCAGGGTCCAATGCCACAAGGTTTTTCACTATCCTCTCGGCTAAGCTAATATCACCATGATTTCTACATGCAGCTAGCAAGGACCCCAATACAACTTCATTCGGCTTCATGGGCATATTTTCCATTACATCCAATGCTTCTTCCAGCTTCCCAGCACGGCTATAAAGATCAACTATGCAACCGAAATGCTCAATTCTAGGGGATATCCTATAAACTCTTTTCATGATATCAAAGTAGCGGAGTCCTTCATCAACTAAACCTGCATGGCTACATGCAGTAAGTGCCAAAGTAAAACTGACCCCATCGGGCTGAAACCCTTCTTTCTGCATTGAATCAAAATATTTCAGAGCTTCCTCCGCAAACCCATTAACAGCAAACCCCACGATGATTGAATTCCACGACACCAATGTTCGCTTTTGCATCTTGTCAAAAACTTCACGGGCAAGTTCTATACATCCGCATCGTGAATACATATCAATCAATGAATTATTTACTCTAACATGGTCCCTAAAACTTTGCTTCAAAACAAACCGATGGATCCATAAGCCAACACCAAGGGCTCCCAAATTAGCACAAGCTGTGACAACAGCTATGATGGCCACATAATCAGGTTTTACCCCAAAAATCATCATCTCTCTAAACCAATCCAACGCTTCTTCATGAAAACCCCTCCTAGCAAACCCATTAATCATGGCAGTCCAAGAAATCACATCTCTTTGAGGCATTTCATCAAATATCTCAACCGCCTTCTCATACTCGCCATTCCTCATATACCCATCCACCATTGTATTCCATGACACGGAATTTTTCACCTTCATCACATCAAAAACCAACTTAGCCACTTCCACATGTCCGCATTTTGCGTACATTTCCACAAGCGCGGTGCCCACCATTACATTTTCTTTATCCAACCCCAATTTGCAAACATACCCATGAATCAAAACACCCAAAACTCCACTCTTCAACGGAAAGTCAGCACAACCGGAAAGAAGGGTAACGAAAGTGATGTGATTGGGCTCGACCTCGGAAAGTCTCATGCGCTTAAACTCTGCGGCTGCTTGGGATATTTGGCCGGAGCGGCAGTGGCGGGATATGGAAGAGGTCCATGAGACTATGGGGTCCAAGGGTTTAAGGGAGATTTGGTGGTTTGGTTAGAAAATATGGGTTGTTTGGGAGTTTGGTGGAGACAAGAAGGTTGGCTGGGTTGCAGAAGTTGGCGTTAAGGCGGGAGAAGGCTCATGTTTCAAATTTCCGTTATCAGATATGTCGGTTAGGTATGAGCGGATTTGTCCACCCCCACTCGGACCCGTTGTCCATTGTCAGGCACTCGATTAGGTTCATTGTTGCCGGCCCGTTTTGCCTCTTTAAACCCATAAGTCCAGTTCATTGTTCACGCCCCATGTTTCCTGTTCAAGTTTATAAATTCATTTTTAAATTAAATAAAATAATTTATAATTTTATTTAATTTTAATTATAAGTATTTAAAGAATATTACAATTTTATTCCAACCTGTTCTCGTTCGAGGATGTTGATAATTTGGATGTTATAAGAAGATTCTTTTAACTGTTTGATAGGTACTACGTGGTAAAGTAGAAGGAAACAAGCAAGAAAATGGATACATAAATAGTCATGGGGGCAAGCTCTCGGCCATGACAGAGATCCTTTTGTTTTATTTTTCATTCTTTTCTGATCATTTTTCTTTTGGAACTTAAAAATGCCAACTTCTTTCGGTCCCGAAGGTTGCAAGAGTTGTGTCTTTTACTCACTTAACAGTAAACAAGTTGTTTATGCAATAGGACTTGCAGTTAAAAAAAAAAAAAGGGAGAAAAAGAAACAAAGGATCTAAACATATTATGGATGGCATGGGGATTGGGGTTCACCAAATTTCAAGTACCTTGAATTTCCCTTTTCTTTTTTTTAATATAAGACTTGGATCAAATATTCAGCAAGAATTTCAGTCAAATAAAGTTTGAACTTTATAAAAAAACATAAAAAACAAGTGGGCAAGACATGTCAAGAGGTGGCATGCATTTTAATGACACAACATGCAAATGTCTTTCCATTAATGACACCATCACAGTCAAGTCTTTGTTTACTAAGCCAACTAATAAGTTTAGATGGGCTCTAAATAGCCTTGATGGATCGGCTAATTAGGATTAAGAAAAGAAATACTTCATTCTCTCTGGGTATAGAGGTTTAAAATTGCTTAGTTTTGATTCTAGTTAATTTGAAGTAGATGAGATTTGAAATGATTCGATTCAATCTTTATATTTTAAATACAAAATATAAAATTTTGAAAGTCATTAACTGTTAAATTTTAAAAATCGGATGTCATTATAATTTTACTTGTATCCGAAGTGATGAAAATTGATATTAATTACTTAATTTTAAAAAATCAAAAATCAGTTTATTGCCATAAGGTATATTTAAGTTAGCTTAACAACTTAATTAGCATCACACTCCAAGAAGGGTTTAATGAAAAATCAGCGTCATGTTGCAGGCCATGGTCTTGGGTGATGTGCACATTACAACTAATGAGGTAGGGTGTTGCCTACGACAAGAAGCACATGAACATGGAGGAACCATTGATAGTTTGTAACAGTTGTGTGTGACAAAAGACGAACAACTTAGGATCCTTTCAATATTTAGGAAAATTATTTTTCTTTAATATATGGAACAGTTAATAAATATATATGGGACACGAATGCTGCAAATCTTTTCTTCACTGCTAAGTTAGGTCACATCATAATATAAATACACCTTAGGATAAGGAACATGAACTTGGGATAGTAACCAGAAGAGAAGCTAATTAAAGCTGCAGTTGCATGAATGAAATTGATTGATCTTAATTCATGATCAGTTCAAGTGAATGAAATTGGAAGAGATACTTCATACTCGGCTCCACGGGTGTTAATCAAGTAGTAAAAAACACGCAGTGGGGTCATATGTTGAATGGGAGCAAAGCTTGGGTCATGCATTTGCGCATGCCTTTCCCAGTTGTGATGAAAAGACTAGAGAGTCATGCTTGGCACATGAATCTATTGCCACGACTGAGGCCTTTCCAAGAAGAACTTGGTGCAGTTTGAATAATTGCAGTCAGCAGATTGACTAGGGATGGGCGGCTGAAGAAAAAGGTAATATCCTTTGGTGAGACAAAATGGGGGAAATGTCTCTTGAGGAAATTGAAACTTAAATGGCGGACGACTTTACAGTTTTACAAAATCAATGTGATAGAAAGCAGCATGTGAAACTAGAATAACTGCTAATAATGTATTGTATAAGCTTAAGGGAGAAGAGCAGAAATTAGATATTTCTCGGGGAAGTTCTAAAAATACATACAATAACTGAGCTTTGGGAATGCATGAACCTTCTTCCAATTCTATTTCATTGTTATAACTTATATTCAACTCCTGTGGACAAGAAAGCCTGTGACGGTGTATCTTGGTTGCGTACATGGCCAACCTTCGTCAGGTAACTCCTCCAACGTTAATAGCATCTGAACAAAGGACTTTTACAAGTGGGGCAGAGAGGAGATTTTAAAAAGAAACACCCCAAATGATTTACCGCTAATCTGTCACTTCGGCCATTTTCAAATCTTTGATTATGATTGAAGTTATGTTCTCTTATAGAAACTGCACAAGTGGCAATTTCTAGAACAAAAGCTTCACCAATTATTGATCAACGTTTGACAATAGTCTCATATGATATCTCGGCTGTCAATTATTTCACACCACTCTGTCCACAACATTACGTGCATGACATTGTTTCGTTTGATATCTGTATCTAACAGTGTATTATCAAAGCAGACTGTATCAGCATTTATAAAGGTAAAACTTTGCACGGCCAAGATATAACCTGAAACATTAGTCAGCCTTTATTCCTTTTAGGACAAAAAAGGTTCTGGTGGTGTTCATCATTTGACTTTTCCGAGTCCTGATACAGTTACCATGTCACAATGCTGGTGATAGAAAAGGAATCAAGCATCAATTTATCTCAGCTAAGCCTTAATCCCCAAACCAGTATAGGAACCAGTTAATTAGCCTGTTTCCCACTCCACTAGATTAAAGGGCTATGTCTTATGAAATCAAGAAGTATCTGTGACATGAAATTGACTTTGCTTCAAATGACATCAATTCTTTACAGCAACACACAGCCTAAGGAATAGTGAAGCAACACACAGCCTAAGGAATAATGAAGCAATATTGAAACCAGTATCTCTCTATCTACACCACCGTACACAAGACATGCTCCATGCCTCAACAAAACGAAAGTAAATTACTTGTACCATATGCAACAATCTAAAGAAGATGTTTGACATAGTATCCCAGAGCACTGAAACATATCATTGGCAATCAGGTTGGTCAACTTATTCCTTGCTGTAGGCTTACCTTCCATCATCGACCATCAGCAGATGTGAAGGAGTCTGCAAATCCAGTAGGCTTCGCTGGAATACTTCCTTTGCTATCATCCAGACTTGTATAGCTCAGGCCTTGGCTTTCTGCTGCCTGCCAAACTTTCAACATTTGGGAAAGTGGCTGGCTGTAATCAATGCCTGAATAACACTCTGATTCATCATGAACTGGTTTCCACATCTCAACTAGGGGTGCCAGCACATTCACTGCATGGCCCATGTCAGGCCGATGATAAGGCTCCCTTGCAGTGCAGTGCCCAGCTAGTTCAGCTATGGTGGCAATGCTCTCATAGGTTTCATCATTCACTTCAAGAACTGGATCAATTGCAGCCATAAGCTTCTCCTTGTTTGATTTGATTCGCCAAAACCACTCAGCCAAGTAACGGCTTTCCTCCGAGCGGTCCTCATCAAGTGCTGTTAATCCAGTCAGTAGCTCCATCAACACAACCCCATAGCTGAAGACATCAACTTTAGTAGTGATTTTCCCCATCACTGCAACCAACAGAACTTGATTTAATAGGAAACCCATCAAAGTGAAATTAAATAAACAAATCAAGTGTGAAAACAAATGGTGGTGCCTTCTTGAGAACTACATCCTATTTGGTGGTGGTGAAGAGCAATATCTAAAAATTTGTAGTGCAAATTTAACAGCATAGATCAGATAAAAATACAACAAATAAAACATAAAAGTATGCTTCCCATAAAATGTATATAAATGCAACTTTTATGCTACTTCATTCTCAAAGATCATTCTTGTCTGCAATAAGAGGAAACAGAAACAATTACTGAGTTTCCACACTTTGGCAGAAAAACTTGAAAATATATCAGTATTTTAAACAAATTAAAATAGAAAAAAGATTTTTGCAAGATCTAAAATAAAGATTGGTGTTTTCTTACAAGAACAGTGCACTGAAAATATTAGCAAGGGTAACAGGAAGAATGAAGATAAAAATGAAATCAACTTGTAAATACAAATAATCCATTTTAATGTGTTCTAAAATGATCAAATATGACAGAAAATGGTTAAAAGGTTTAATGTCTTCGGTGCTGGGAAGATGTTGTGCATACAGATGCTGTAGCATGATAAGCAGGTTGACAATAGGGGGGGTGGGGGAATGAACTCAATGTTACTCATGGAACCTGCTGGTTAAACAGAACCAAAGTAGACCAAAGGTTTTATGCAACTAAAATGAAACGCATAAGACAATAAAGTCTAAAATCAAACCCCACAACAATGAAGGATCAAAACATTATGTTTAATTTTGCAGTATAAAGCAAGCAGCTAGATTCAAACCAAAAAGAAATATGACCTAAGAAACTAAAAAAAAAAATAACAGAATAAAAGTTACAGTGGAGAAACAAAATTAGATCGCTCACCAGCATATTCAGGTGCTAGGTATCCAAATGTTCCAGCAAGCCTAGTTGCCACAGACTTCTCTCCATCAGGTGCAAGTTTCACCAACCCAAAATCTGAAACTTTTGCTCGAAAGTCATCATCTAGAAGGATGTTTGAAGACTTGAGATCTCTGTGTATAAAAGTTTGCCGGGCCAAGTTATGCAGATATTCCATTCCTCTAGCAACATCCAATGCAATAGTGAGCCTTCTTCTCCAAGATAGAGGTTCCAATTTCAGGTTCTTCCAATGGAACAGATGCTTGCTTAGAGCACCCTGAGGCATATACTCATAGACTAGAAGCCTCTCATTGCCTTCAATAGAATAACCCAAAAGAGAAACCAGATGCCGATGCCGGACCTTAGAAAGTACAGCAATTTCAGACTGAAATTCATCCAATGCTTTACTGCTTATAACCCCAGCC